CGCATCACCATCTTCCCGCTGCCCCCTATCGGTGCTTCCCGCACCCCCAACACCACCCCCCCTTCCCGGTACCTGCCCCGCTCCCGGCCCCGCAGCTCCGCACGGCTCCGCACCGCGCACGGAAAGGCGGCGATCCCCGCCCGCCCCCCGCATTCCTCCGGCGGCGGCGACGGCGGCGGCTCCGGTTACAGAGGGCGGCACCGCACCGCGGGGCGGGGATGGGGTGCGGGATTGGGGGCGGGTGGGAGCGCCCCCTGGCGGCGGGACGGGGAAGGGGCGCTGCGTCGGGACGGTGCGGGACGGTGCGGGTCCACGGGGCACGGAACGGAACGGGGCTACAGAGCGCGGCGCAGAGCAGCACGGCACGGCCCTACAATGCAAGGCACGGCCCTATAGAGCACAGCACAGCCCCACACAGCACGGGACAGGGCTACATAGCACGGGACAGAGCAGCACGGCACGGCCCCATACAGCACGGCACGGCCCTACAATGCAAGGCACGGCCCCACACAGCACGGGACAGGGCTACATAGCACGGGACAGAGCAGCATGGCACAGCCCTATATAGCACGGCACGGCCCTATACAGCACGGCACGGCCCTACAATGCAAGGCACAGCCCTACAGAGCACAGCACAGCCCCACACAGCACGGGACAGGGCTACATAGCACGGCACAGAGCAGCACGGCACGGCCCTATATAGCACGGCCCTATATAGCACGTGGGCACGGCCCTACAGCGCACGGTTCAGCACAGTTGAACGCAGCACGGGACAGCAGCTCAACACGACGCGGCGTAACTCAGTGCGAGCGATCCCAGCTCGGTGAACGCAGCGCAGCCCGCAGCACGGCTGTCCCGCAGGGCACGGCGCGCGGTGCCGCCTCGGGGCCGGGAGGGGCCGTGGGATCCGCTCCTCCCGGACCGGCAGCGCCCCGTAGTACCGGCGGGACGGGAGGGACCGCCCGGACGGGACGGGGCGGGTGGGCGAAGGCGCCGCCGCTCCCACCGCCGCGGGGCTCCCGGACGCGCGTGGGTCCGCCCGTACCTGCGGGGCGCGGAGCAGCTCCGTCTGCAGCGCCGAACCCCGCGCCACGGTCGCGCGGCCGCGTTGGGACCGGGAGAACATCGCACCGGGACCGCACCGCACCGCGGACCCTCGGGCAGCCGGGGGGAGGCGGGGACGGTACCGGGCGGGTCCTGGCACGGGGCGGGCGCGGAGCCACCGGTAGCGGCGGACAAAGGGCGACTGAAGGCTGCAGCTGCACGGGGTTGGGGGGGGGGGGAAACCGGGGTGCGTGAGTGGGAGTGCGCGTGGGCGCGCCCGCGTGTGTCAGTGCACGGCCGCCCGTGCGCGTGTCCGCGTTCACGCGCTCCTGCACCGCGCGTGGGGCTGCCCGCAGGAAACGGCCCCGAATCTCCACGCACGTGGCCGGGGCCGAACGCGGGACGCGGCCCCGCGGCCTCGCGGCCTCGCGGCCGCGGTTTCCCACCCGGACGGCGCTGTCCGACGGACTTTGCCCACTTCAAAGATGGCGGCGGCGGCGCTCTCCCCGCCCACTCGCCCGCACCGGATGTTTGCTGCACGGCGGGCGGAAGTGGGTCCGTCTGGAATGCGTTCCCCCACGGCGCGGTTTCGGGCTCCGGCAGCGGCACCACCGCCGGGTGCGGGCGGCCCGGGCCGATGAGCAAAGCGTGGCGGCGGGGCAGGATGGAAGGCGGCGAGCACGGTGAGGCCGGGGAGAGGCAGAGGGGCCGCGGCTCCTTCGGGCTGTGGGCGAGGGTCCGCTCCCGGCTCCGGGCCTTATGGCGGCTCCCGCAGGTGAGGAGGACGATGGCGGCGGGCACGGCGCGCACAAGAAGAAGCACAAGAAGCACAAGAAAAAGCACAAGAAGAAGCACCACCACGAGCCCGCGGCAGCGCCCGAGGCCCCGCAGCCTACGGCCGCCCCGCGGAAACCGCAGCTGAAGCTGAAGATCAAACTGGGGGGGCAGATCCTGGGCACCAAGAGGTGAGGGCGAAACCCACCCCCCAAAGCCAGGGACGGCGCTCTGCCCCACTGCGCCCTTCCTCGTGTCCTCGGGGGGATCCCGGGAAGGGCATCCTGGGGTTGGATCTTGGTCCCTGCTGGCTGGGCCCTGCCCCGTGTCTGTGGGGAGGTCCTGGTGCTGGGATCCACCTGGGTCCTGCCCCGTGTCCCCGTATCCCGGCACCTCAGTGCCCCAGGTTGGTGCCCCCCGGCTCTGCCCGACCTCAGGGGCGGTGCATTCCCCCTGCAGCGTGCCCACCTTCACCGTGGTCCCTGAAGCACAGAGTTCCCCCTCCCCGCTGATGGTGGTGGACGAGGAGGATGAGCCCACCGAGGGAGTGCCCATTGAGCAGTACCGGGCCTGGCTGGGTAAGCGCTGAGGGGAAGGGCGTGGTGGGAGGAGGTGGGCTTGGGGGCCCGAGGCAGGGCTGGGCTGGTGCTGCCCCTCCCGCAGGCTTTAGGTGGGCTGGGAGTGCCGCCACACTGGGCACTGCTCTGGGCCCTGTTGAGCGAGGTTTCCGCACCGACGGGCAGCGCGGGCCGCCTCAACATGGTGCGGGGTTGGCATCACCCCAGGACAGAGCGAACATGGCTTTCCCTGTGGTGATTGCTCTGTCCTTCACCGCCCGGCTCAGATGAGGACAGCAACCTGGACCCCTCCCCTTTGCCGGACCTGGACTCAGAGAGTTGCTTCCCCGCCCGCGAGGATGAGGAGGAGGAAGAGGAGCGTTGGCTCGACGCCCTGGAGAAGGGCGAGCTGGACGACAACGGAGAGCTCAAGAAGGAAGTGGACGAATCCCTGCTGACGGCGCGGCAGGTGAGGGGCAGGCCGGGGCTGTGTGGGGGGGTGGCAGCTCAGGGCCGGGCGCCTCACATCGCCGCACCCCGCAGAGAGCCCTCCTGCACAAGCAGCAGAGCCAGCCGCTGCTGGAGCTGCCCATGGGCTACAAGGCCAAGGAGCTGACGGAGGAGATGCTGGTGAAGCGCGAGGAGCGGGCGCGCAAACGGCGCCTGCAGGCGGCCAAGAAGGCGGAGGAGAACAAGAACCAGACCATCGAGCGGCTCACCAAGACCCACAAGGCCAAAGTGAAGGCGCTGCGGGAGCGCCGGGCCCGGCCGGCCGCCTGCCCCGTGGTGCAGTACCGCAACGCCGCCGATCTCATCACCGTCTCCTTCCCCGCGGGCGCTGCGCCGCCGCTGCTGCCCAGCACCGCCCCCCCGGTGCCGCCGGCCGCGCTGTGCGGCGTCAGCGGCTGCGCCAACCGCCGCCGTTACTGCTGCTCCCGCACCGGGCTGCCGCTCTGCAGCCTGGCCTGCTACAAGCGCAACCTGCGGCTGCAGGAGGCCGCCGCCTGACCGCGGGCCGGGACCGAGGCCGCGCTGCGGACGGCAAACAGCCGGCGCCGCCCTTCCCGCGTGCGGCGCCGCGCGTCCCGGTGCGCGGGGCGGCGGCACGTTGGCGGGACGGAACAGCGCCCTGGTTGGTCGGCGTGGCCGTCAATCTTCAGACGAGTCGTGCGTTCGCTTTTCTTTGGCCGCTCTCTCGCGGGTGGCCGCCCCGGGGGGCGGGCCCGGGCGCGCGGTTGGTGGCGACGCCCGTCCGTCACGCGCGGTGACGGAGGGCGAGGCCGCCGTTGGCCGCGGCTCCCGTCGGTCGCGGCCGGGAGGGCGGGGCCGCGCCTCCGATTGGCCGCGGGCGCCGCGGGGGCGGGACTCGGTCCCTTTGTCTCTGTTGTCGGGCGTGAGGCGCGGGCAGACGGCCGCCGATTGGACGAGGCGGGGCGGCGGCGGCGGCTCCGGTTGGCCGGCGGCGGCGGGGCGGCGTCGGATTGGCGAGGAGG